GTCGTAGAATTGGCTTGAACGATAAGTCATATCAGCCGTTTTGAACTTTTGCCTGTGCTAATCTTTTAACGTTGTGGCTTAAAATCGTACACTCCATATCTTATTTTAGTAAGAGTTTTACGGCACTCGCGACACAATTAGGTCATAAAAGTGCCAAAGATTATTGGTTTTACAAGAGAGTAACATACACAACGAAGAAGTGGGGGATATTAAAAACATTAGATATTTGAAACGAAAGATCCACGCCAGTGCACCTGCCAACCACTCACATACTTTTTCAGAACTTCCCAACTTTAGTAGAATGAGTATCTAATAGTTTATTTCGTCCTTTGTGCTAAGTAATAGACTTGTGTCCCAGATTCTTGTCCTCACTGAAGAGTAGATGCTTACGAGACTACGATCAAGACATCGACAACCTCAAAAATAACAACAACAACGACAACGACAACAACACCACCACCACCACCACTACCAACGCCGCCAACAACAACAACAACAGCAACAGCAACAACAACGATAACAATAGCAACAACAACAGCAACAACAACAACAGCAACAACAACAACAGTAACAACAACGCTCGTCTTTTCCCCCCTTTTTCAGGTATAACCGCTCCCGATCGAGAATCCAGCTTACTGAGATCCTTGTTAATGACAACCAGTGCTCTGTGGTCCGCTGTAGGCTTCTACCACGTGGTAGAGGCCGTCACGCCACAAGCCACACCTGACTCCGAGACGCTGTGGGCGGGCTACGGGGCCTTCTTGATCATTTTCTTGTTCTACGTGTTCGCAGGGCTGTACCACAGGGACCGAGTCGCCGCCACGGTGGCTCTCGGGATGTTTCTCTCCTGCGTCTTCGAGATTGCTTCTCTGTGGCGACCGTTAAGGAGAAGTGCTGCCGCTTACTATCTCCTACTTGCCGCTTTGTGTCTGTACTTGGCGGTTTCTAAACTTTGGGCAAAGTTCCGACAGAAGATAGACAAAGTTTACAGATCGGATAATGCAGATCCGCGTCCACTTCCGATTGATTTCGTCCCCATGGGGCATGCGATGAACACCTTAGCCGCAGCTGTATATGCAGGTCATGTGACTGGTGTATTTAGCTCAGCTGTTGAAGGCTTCACCTGGGTGCTCACGGCTGGGGTGTATCTCACAGTAGCAGCTGTGGTGGCTGTCAGGCGGTCTCAGATGTACGCTAGCGTTTACTTAATTTTCCACGGTCTTTTCTGGCTGACTAATGGCTTCGACCTCACAGTGGCTTACATTAATCAAGTTGACACCCCTTTCATAGTGGCTCCAACCGTCATTCATTTTATTATCTTCTTTATTCTCGCTGCGTTTTCCATCACCAGAGAGCTTTACCAAGTGCCTCAAGTCCTTTCTATCTGTCTTCTCTGCATCGCTATTATTCTGGGCAACAACAGAGGCGCGTTTGTGGGAGCCATGGGCTGGATACTTTTCGTCTTGTCTTTGTACAGTCTCGCTGCTCACTTGTCTAGAGTCCAGAATTCTGGTTTTAAAATCCCTCTCGGTGCCAAACTACTTAGCACTGACAAGCTACTTGCAGGATTTGTGTCTGCTTGCAAATGCTGTTTTTCTAAATCCAAGAATCTAGTTTCTGCAACTGCTTCTAGAGGTAATCACCTCTTCTCCACTGATTTCACCCTCGGGTATTCTCGCTATGCAGGGTTTGATCTTGCCGGCTTCGCTGTAAACGCGGTGGCAGCTTTGGCTATTCTGTGGTCACCTCAGGGCGTATGGGTCTTACCTTGGGCGCTGCTTTTTGGAGGTGTGGCTCAAATGGTGGTGGCGTCTATCTCTTTTGCTCAAGGCTTGTCTTTTGAAAGCTGTGCATTTTTTACGTTCGGCTCATTCTGGATGATATGGGGCCCGGCGAGAGGTATCGGCATCCTGGACCAGGACAACTCTGCGGCTGTGATTACAGGCACTATCGGCTTCCTTGCTGCTACTTTACTGCTTCTCGGCCTCTCCTTTCTCATCAACAAAGCTTGGACAATCGTCACTTTCCTCTTCAATCTTGTCGTCGTGGGTAACCTCCTGCACGCCGTCAACGCCAACGGCTCTTTCAAGTACGAGGTGGTCATCAATATTGTGTTTGTGGTGGCGTGCATGTACTGTTTCTTAGCGTACGCACTGCGCGCGGTGTGGGGGAGAGAGATTCTGCCCGTGGGCCAGCCCTACCTGCAGGTGAGCTACCTGCATTCTCAGGGTGAGCAAGCCTTCTGGGCGGACGGCAGGACAGCCAGTGGGGTCAAGGCTATCGCAGGTGAGTACTGGAAACAATCTTGTTGACAAAACCTTTTGTTGTTGTTGTAGGTGTTGTTGTAGTTTGTTGTTGTTGTTGTTGTTGTTGTGGTTGTTGTTGTTGTTGTTGTTGTTGTTGTTGTTGTTGTTGCTGTTGTAGTTGCAATTGTTGCTGTTCTTGTTACTGTTGATGGTTGAGTTACTGTTTTTGCTTTTGTTTTTGCTTTTATTTTTGCTGTCATTTAACAAATAGTGTAAATCTTTTCAAAGGTGTGCAAATCTATTGCAGGTCATGGCTTTGGGATGGGAGGAGGGAACATGAAAATATTCGAACCAACCAGGATTCGAACTTCTTTAGTTTGTAATCTGTTTTCTAAAATTAAAACATAACAGAGTTTGACGATAAAATAATCATAAGAAGCTAATTCGAATTCGAAATTATACTTAATATTTTCTCAAATCCATAGCCCTGCATATCAATGTGTATCTATGTCTTTGCATGTCTTATTTAGTGCTTGCATTAAAAGGGGGTCTTCGCTCCCAGGCGAAGTGCATGCATTTTGTTGTTATGATCATTTTTTTAAATCGAAAAACCTCAGTATGGATACGGAAATTCTGGAAAGTAGTCGAGTTATTTCTTCTTAAATTCTCATTCGATTGGAAATCAATCTTTAAGTTGCCACAATATCTGACCAGTCTTCAATCAATCGTTGCGTCCACAGACATCATGAACCGTGGCGGAATCTGCGGCATCCCAACTGACGTCGTCTATGTCTTGGTATCGGCTCTGAAGTTTCCAAAGTCTGTAGAGGTAAGACTTTTCATTGCATGCTATGTTATTAGAAAATACTTCAACACAAATGAGCTTTTGTTTTTATTTCGGAATAAATGTGTGTTTGTTTTTTAGTAGAGGTTTTATAGCGCTCGCAACTGCATAAGGTCATATTTATGAGTGCCAAGGGGATTTCAACAGAAAAGCTCTTACAGGGAATCAGGTTTACTCTGCTCACCTTTCTAGCTTCAACAACACAAAGTCTGCGTTGACTATCAAGGCATCCAGTAAATAGCGAATAGCGGGTCACAAGAGTGTGACAAACATACATAAAGAAGTAGAGGGAAAATGACGATAGTAAGGATTAGGACAGAAAAAGCAGCAGTTCCCTGTTGAAGTTCAGGCACAGTTATGAGCATGGCATTGATGAATCAGCCAATTTACAATTACAATTCTACTATGCAGAAGAACATGGTTAATGTCCCCCCTTTGATAATGGCCTAATGACACTTCAGTCAGTACCACTGCCCCACCCCCCCCCCCCCCCCCGGGGGGGGGGGTAGAATAAATGTACTCCTGTAGTAATAATAGTTTTCGTCAGAAAAACTAATGGAAACTTTGTTCTTTTTCGTTTCCATTTACATCGTAGTATTCAAGAAATTCTTTTACCAAAATGATGGGAAGGCGGAGGTACTTCAAGGCACCAACATAATATACACATGAGCACGGGCTCACAGCTCACGCATACGCGCGCTCACACAAACTCTCTCTCTCTCTCTCTCTCTCTCTCTCTCTCTCTCTCTCTCTCTCTCTCTCTCTCTCTCTCTCTCTCTCTCTCTCCCTCTCTCTCTATCTCTCTCTCTTTCTCTCTCTCTCACTCACACACACACATACACACACACACATACACACACACACACACACACACACACACACACACACACACGCACACACGCCAGCGCGCACTCACTCAATCACTCACTCACTCACTCACTCACTTTGTGAACATCCCCCCACCCCCTTTCCACAGAGAGCTTACAACACCAAGAAGGACGCAGAGGACCGACCAATGTCGATGTGGATCAGCAAAGTGAGCCAGATCGAAGAAGGGAGGCCACTCTTTGGAGAACTTGCTTGGGGACTCATGAATGAGATCTGGCCGTCTACTGTCAGTATGGTGGTTCCCAAAGGTAAGATTTGGTCACCTCAGCTGTTGTTTTGATTTTGTTGTTGTTGTTTTGTTTTGTTTTTTGGGGTTTTTTTGTTTGTTTGTTGTTGTTGTTTGTTTGTGTGTTGTTGTTGTTTTTTTGGGGGGGATGAATCAAACATTGTTACACTTTCTAGTCAATTTTGCGCGTTGAAATATTGGACGTTGAAACTGCAGAAGGATCCGTGTGGTGAAAATGTGAGGCTCCTAAAGAAAGATAAAAGGTTACTCCAAAGAACGTAGTCAAGTCTAAAGACTAAACTTATTTTTGCTTTCCATTCAATGACCTGCCTTTTGCGGTATCATTTATGATTAGATTTTATATATTTCTTGAAATAATATTTAAGAAAAGTTGTTGTGCCCCTACCGACCCAATTAAAACCAATCAAGTGACGGGTTTTTTACCAATCCTGCATCCTCTGTTAACGTTTACCACCATAACTGCTTAGCATTGCTTCTTCACTCAGTAGACGAACATTGGTTGATAAGATAAGATAAGATAAGATAAGATAAGATAAGATAATACTTTATTACCCAGGGGGGAATTTTTCTTAGCTTATCTTATCTTATCTATCTCTTTCAGACGGTAAAATGCGGATTAATGTTAAGACGTTTCTTGACGGGAAAGAGAAATTGGGGGATCCCAGGAGGAAGATATGTAGTATAGAAACGCAAGAGCGTTTTAGCTAATGAAGCATTGTCTTGAAGTGTTTCTGTATACATTTTCCAGGCGAGTGGCTGATGAATCTGGGAATAGGGTCATCGGAGAAGTACATTGGACGTCCAGACAGTATTGCAGTGAGAATGCCTGACAACACTGTGACGTCACACTTGATTGACCAGACTGGACCGGTAGCCACTACGTCTGCCAACCCGACTGGAGAAGCTGACACCACTCATCATCTCCAGGTCCTTGCCAAACTGGGGCTGGAAAACGTAAGTTGAAGTCAATATTGTAACTAAAGGAATTGTTGTGGGGAGATTATATTCAAACGATTTTCTTTTCTTGAGAACATAATGTTACATTCAAAACCCCAATGTATAATCAGTTAAACAAATAGTTAATTTTCAAAATCCTTTGGATAATAATTATGAATACCAGACAGTAGCAATATCTCAAATGAGACTGCAATTTGTAACAATGTTTGTTTTCAAGACATTTGGGGTAGATATTAAAAGAGAGCCATTTAAAGAGAGAAAGCAGATGTTTTAAAGTAAAATGGTGTTACCAGTTTTGTCAAAGTGGTTCTGAAAAGAAATGAGTCAGTGGCTTGGTCAATAAGCAAAGGCGTGAATCTTGAGAGATGAGCAGCTGCTTTTATTATATAGTGTAAAGCGCACAGAGCTTGCGTTCGAGTCGGGACATGCCCTTTACAAATGTTATATTATTATTATCATT